CTATTATGTATGATATTTGCCTGAAAATTTCTAGTGAAAAAACTCTCGTCTTAGAGTGCAAGAAAAAAGCTTCCAGTTTTCAGCCTTTAATCTAGAGCAGGGATCGGCGACTCATTCGACCCCCGTGGGGCCGGATCGTGTTATAATGACGTGTCCGCGGGCCGGACGAAGGACATTAATGAAAAATTAAGGAAAATTGCATATGCAGACCCCCTGTCAACCTAAATATTTAAAACCATAATAAAAATAAACATTGAGAAATCAGAAAAACAAAAGAAAATCTAAAATTAAAAAAAACACCTAACAAAAATTACTTTTCCTCAAGGAACGTCAAAATACTTCAAAGTGAAAAAAAATCAACCGAAGTGAAAATGGATGAAATTATGACGTGTAGGTTTGAAACTGTTATTGAAAATTGTTCCACAAACGAACCACACACACACACACATCAAACAAAAACGAAGCACATATACCCATACATACGAGTACAAATAGTTGCAAACATATACACTTACGTATGTACACATGCGGTATCATCCACACATTCATGAGGCATGTATGTATAATGTGCGTATGTTTAATTGTCTTTAGATTTCTGCTACCTCGCATGTCAGTCCCTCCCTGGCCTCTTTCACTTTATCGTTTCTTTCGCTTCTGTTATCTTTTAATGTAGCCAAGGGTCATAACAAATATGAAAGCCTCGTCTCTCATGTTAAAAATAGAGTCATTGGTAATCAGGCTCGCGGGCCGGTCAAAATGCCTCCGCGGAAAGTGTTAACTTTAACAACATCGGCTTTATGAGCACGTTCTGGATATTGGCCATGCAGAGCGTTGTCTTGCCGGCGTTTCATCTGTTCAAGAGCTTTATTCTTGACATTTTCTTTCATATTTTTTGCTGCACCAGTTGAGATCTGTTTTGGTTTTCTACAGAATCTACTAGATGTAAATCTCGTTATTATTATTATTACAATCTATGCCCGTTGATTAAATAAAGGGTTCAGTTAATGTTACCTTGATCGATAAGCACATGACGAAGGCCAAAGCGACTGAAACGTTGTGTTAATAAAATAAATGAGAAAAATTGTCCGTATTTAAATATTGTATAATTTTCTTTACAGCTTATCTTTCCTCCCAGGGTGGCACATATCCGAATACATGAAACAGGTGGAAATTTATATCTAAAGATTTTTTTGTTTTTTTCTGTATTCATATCTGTGTCGGCTTCTTTATATCCGAATACAGTGAGCCCCCGCCTATCCGCGTTTCAGCATTCGCAGCTTCATACATTCGCGGATTTTTTCTTTAGAACATATGTACTTGTTATTCTCGGAAACCCTGAATATTCGCGTGTTTTTCTGAAGAATATATGTACAAATTATTCGCTGAGAACTCCCTCGATTTGCGTATTTTTTTCGATAGAACATATTTAAAATATTATTGTATTATTTTCCTGTTATTTAAGTGACTTAAAACATGTAACAGTTCATTTTATGGTAAAAATTGTACATCTTCATAGTAAAAAAAACAAACCCCAAAAACATACGTAGTGCTTGGGCATTGTTCTTTGTTAGGGGCTGCGGCTGGGGGGTCTTAAAAGTGGCTTATGCTAAGTCTGGAAGCATCATTAAAGTTTTGTTTTTAGAAAAATGTTTTAAATTTTATATTTTATGTCTTGTTACACATATTTTATACAGTATTTTCAATGGTTATCGATCTATGCGTAATAAAAAAAAAACGGTTATTGTACGTATGAAAGAAAATTGACGTGTATGGTCACCAATACCATCTTTCAAAAATGTTTTAAAACGATCTGAAACGTTTCTAAATCCCTTACATTTTCAAAGCCCTGCATGTATATCAAGTAGGGCTTTGAAATTGCAAGAGAGGAATTGGATAGGCCATGTCCTGTGTTGTATTCGGATATTTTATTGCTATAAACGTAAAGTGAGTACTTCGCATGGGTAAGGGAGGGTTAAGCTATAACTTTAGGGTCTATGAAAGTTTAAGCTATATGGGGTTTTAACAATCAAAATAGATATATATAAGAACTTTTAGTGGGGTGGGTTACAAAGTTGTTGTGTAGGTAGCTTACCACCCCTCTTGAAGATGAACTATTTAACAAGGACGTTAAATAGTGGCATGTCAAAAGACAGTGTCGGAGAAGTTCTTGGGCTGACTTCCGACGTCTGTCGAACACTCTGCGTTAGCAGAGAGGAACCCGGACGAGGCTTTGCCGAAGGGCAAGGTTTCGTCCGGGGAGGTAGACAGGGCTTGAACCCGTCTAATCGGCTTCAAAAGGCTATTTTTTTTGGCCGAGCCTACGGGCTCGGAGAAACCCACAATAAAACCGGCCTTGTGCCATATTCGTTTCCCGTGGGTGAAATGATAAATACCGAGAAGTTCTTGGGCTGACTTCCGACGTCTGTCGAACTCTCTGCGTTAGCAGAGAGGAACTCGGACGAGGCTTTGCCGAAGGGCAAGGTTTCGTCCGGGGAGGTAGACAGGGCCTGAACCCGTCTAATCGGCTTCAAAGGCTATTTTTTGGTCGAGCCTACGGGCTCGGAGAAACCCACAATAAAACCGGCCTTGCGCCATATTCGTTTCCCGTGGGTGAAATGATAAATACCGAATGGTGTTGAGCGGTCTCTGACTGCGCACGCCTTCTGTCGAACTCTCTGCGTTAGAAGAGAGGAACCCAGACGAGGCTTTGCCGAAGGGCAAGGTTTCGTCCGGGGAGGTAGACAGACCCTGAACCCGTCAATCGGCTTCAAAAGGCTATTTTTTTGGTCGAGCCTACGGGCTCGGAGAAACCCACAATAAAACCGGCCTTGTGCCATATTCGTTTCCCGTGGGTGAAATGATAAATACCGAGAAGTTCTGGGCTGAGTTAGTTATAGACTACTCAGGCGATTTCTGTACCAACTTACCAACCGAATAAACCCCATTTTATTGTTACGTGTTATTTGGCGTTTGTCTTTATTAACCCCAAATTAACATCATAACAAAAGTATTCGCAAATTCTAACTATTCTCAGCAGGTTTTGATCCCCCCCCGTGAATACTGGGGACTCACTGTACGTTTATAGCAATAAAATAACCGAATACAATACAGGACATAGTCTATCCAATTCATCCCTTGCAATTTCAAAGCCCAACCTGATATATATCAGATTGGGCTTTTGAAATTGCAAGGGATTTATGTAAGAACGAACGAGCTTATTTGCCACTTGGATTTACTGATAACGTGTGAGAAGAGATAGGAGCGTTTCCTTCCAATGTTCAGGATTACTTACTAATCACACATCAAACAAACCGAGATTTTGTACACTATTATCGCATTTTGTTGCACACATCTGGACTGGTTGACCGACAAGTAAGAACATGACAACAGCCACAAGTTCAGACGGACGACATTGGTCATTCAATAGGGCTTACGAGCTAAATAACTGTCAATAAAAATGAAAAGAACAAATCCGCCTAAATCCGAATCATTTAATCCTTGAAGTTAATGGTGGCATTCACTTCCTGTATAGCTTTTACAAAATGATAAAAACGGGTCTACCGGCTTGGGGCTTGCCTCATAGTAAACAATTTACTCTGTTTAAGAGGGTTTGACCAAGATAATATTACCCTGGTGCTGGAAATATTGACCTGGCTCAGCTTATAAAACACGACAAAAAAAACAAAAAAAAACATTGCAAATGCTTATTTCGTACATCAGGTGTAGATCGTTTTAAAACATTTTTGAAAAATAGTATTGGTGACCATACACGTAAATTTTCTTTCATACATACAATAACCGTTTTTTAATTACGCGTAGATCGATAACCATTGAAAATACTGTATAAAATATGTGTAACAAGACATAAAATATAAAATTTAAAACATTTTCTAAAAACAGAACTGTGATAATGCCCCCAGACTTAGCATAAGCCACTTTAGCCTGTTAGTAAAGAAATACAACTCTATACAATGATGCTCACCCTGTACCAGGCCCAAGAGGGTAAAAGGCTTCACTCCAAGCAAGGTGATAATGCCACCAAAATGAAGTGAAAGAGAAGGAAAGAGAAGGAAAAGATTTTAGAAGGAACCAGAAATCCAATCCTAAGCAAGGAATAATGGTTAAACGTCTACTCATGTTCAAAAGACCATTATTTATAAGAAGTGGATAAAGTGGTTAGTACATTTTAGATTCAGTCAGTCAGTTATGGGCCATGCGTGATACAAATTTAGGTGATCAGATTTTTTTACCCGCAGTAGGTTGCCATTTCTTTCTGCGGAGGACCAGTTGCCATCCAAGTCTATAGACCCGGTCTGTCCTGCTATTTATCCATAGCTGAGGGGAGAAGAAGGATTCATACCTTTTCAAAGGGTATTAGCTCGTAAGTGAATGTAATGGATTCGACTGGAATTCGAACCCGGCATATATACAAGGAATCAATCAATTTTTTTTAAACTGGATCAAATGGTGTCAAAAATCCACATCCACGTTGAGAATTGCCAGCGTGTGTAAGGATTTATTTTACGCGAGGTCCAAGGATAAAAACTGTCTCTCAAGCGCATTTGCAATGGTAAAAATGAGTAGCTAAAGGTTTACAATGTTTCGTTTTTGGGAAAGAGGTTGTAGAGTGGAAAATAATTAATCACCCTCAAGGCCATGCAGACAATTTTAGTCTATATCAAAACTGGAATATGAGGAATGGGCAACCCCAGCCGTACATCATTTTCCGACATTAATCCATTTGTAAATATCCTTTTGTGTGTATGTTTATACTGTTTTCAATAAGGTTTTAAGATAAACAATGAAGAAATTGTATTGTATACTGTTTTGCGCTCGAAATGTTCTCTTGTATTTGTCTTTAATGAAAATATGTTTTATTCGTTTGTGCACGCACTTCCAGCCATGCAAGCATCTGTGGGCATATATTGAGCATCTGATACGGATAATATGGTTTCGTGTGTAGATTGAGAGCAAGTGGATTGTGCTTCAGATATTTTGGGATGTTTATATTTGCATACGTTCGACCACATCCTAGTCTCTATTTCTTTCCCTCATTCTTTGCTATTCAGCACTTCTTCTTCTTCTTCTTCTTTTTCTTCTTCTTCTTCTTCTTCTTTTTCTTCTTCTTCTTCTTTTTGTGTTGTTGTTCTTCCTTTTGTTGTTGTTCTTCCTTTTGTTGTTGTTCTTCCTTTTGTTGTTGTTGTTGTTGTTGTTGTTTTTCTTTCTTTTGTTGTTGTTGTACTTCATTTTGTTGTTGTTCTTCCTCCTTTTGTTGTTGTTCTTAATATTGTTGTTGTTCTTCCTCCTTTTGTTGTTGTTCTTAATATTGTTGTTGTTCTTCATCCTTTTGTTGTTGTTGTTGTTTTTCTTCCTTTTGTTGTTATTGTTGCTCTTCTTCCTTTTGTTGTTGTTCTTCCTTTTGTTGTTGTTCTTCCTTTTTTTGTTGTTCTCCATTTGTTGTTGTTGTTCTTCGTTTTGTTGCTGTTGTTCTTTTTGTTGTTGTTGTTCTTGTTCTTGTTCTTCCTTTTGTTGTTGTTGTCGTTCTTGTTGTTGTTGTTCTTCCTTTTGTTGTTGTTCTTCTCCTGCTTCTTCTTCCTTTTGTTGTTGCTGTTATTGTTCCTTTTGTTGTTGTTGTTATTGCCCTTTTTGTTGTTCTTCTTCTTCCTTTTGTTGTTGTCGTTATTGTTGTTGTTGTTGTTCTTTTTCTCAGTGTTTTCCTTTCTCTCTCCAAATCTTTATGAAATGAGTTCTTTCTACGCTTCCCCGTGGTACAAGGCATTTCTGCGATGGCACGAATTCGGCTGGTTAAATTGGCACGACATATCATGTTATTCTGGCACAGAGATGGGTCACTCAATGAGGTTCCAACGTATTAAAGGTCGGTTTAATGTGGGGAGCCCGAGCGCGTACACCCGGGCTAGGAACAAAATTTCTCCGAGCCCCCGCAACCGATCTCTCTCTCTCTCTCTCTCTCTAGTGCAATGAGAGGGCGCAGCACCTCTGTATAATTTTCCTGCCAAAAAGACAGAGATGCAGCTGATAGATGATAAATAATGTTACAAACCACTCGAGAGAGCAATTTACACAGTCTGCATAATGAAGTGCTAATTATCTCTCTACATTAGTTACCTTAATAAAAATTGACTCGTATAAAAGTTTTAGTAGAATTTTAACATGTGTTGCCTGACATCTTGTTAAGTTTACTTCCGGGAAAAAGATTCAAATAAAATATATGTGTGACTTCCGATTAAAACAAGATTAAAAAAAAAAAAAAAAAAAAGAATTATTATTATACTAGCTTTAAAAACTAGCTTCTGCGAAGAGCTCTTGATTGGGGCCTCGACTTATTCAGGAGTTTAAGAGTCCTTAAGTCTTTGCATATTCTCAGCATTGGGCTTTCATTTGCACGGGATTTTCTTTTCCTTTGGCTCATTTGATTGCAATCTGGTCCTCTGTTGACGGAGATATCTTTTTGCGATGCATACTGCTGCCGGATGCGATAGGCAACAATAAAGACAAAACTGATCACTGCATTTAAGTATTGCATTAGTATTTAAGTTTACCTTTTAAATGTTCAACAATAATTCTTCTGCCGCCATTTAATTGAAAGACAATTTGATGTACGTAGGTCCTTACTTTCCGCACAAACAATTATTTTTTTTTTTAATTTCATGGGTGACATTCGCTGATAATTGTAAGTAATTTAAATTATTCGCAAATTTATTTCCAAGTTATAAAAATTGTTATCGTATAAAACATTGGTCACAAAAAAATCACGTAAAATATCGCCGAAAACAATCGCAATAATGAAAAATTGGGAATTCTGAATTTCAGGATTTTGGTTCCAGACCCGACTCTGAATGGTTTTAATTTCAAAATAGTATTATATGCTGGGCTACGGCCTCTAGGAGTAAAGTTGAAAAAGTGTGACACACTGACACAGTGATATTCACATTTATTTATATGGATGTATTAAAAATAAAAAAAAAGATAAAAATAAGAAATAAAATTAGGAACTAGACGAGCTAACATTAGACATGGACAATGGAATGAGAACAATCTAACCCTGCAGATTAAATAAAGGTTTCAGTTCGGAATTCCTTGTAGTTTACCTGGATCGATATATACCTGATGAAGGCTAGAGGGAACAATAGCCGAATTGTTGTGATAACAACAAAAACAAGAACAATAAAACATATTTTTAGGACAATTAAAGAAATAAGGTAAAGTTTTGTTGTTGTTGTTGTTTTTCAATAGTAGTTCTCACTTTTTTCAGACCTAAGACGACATCATCTTTATGGAAACCATTTGCGTTGACTAAAGCAACCAGAACTGACTGTGACTGTTTGTTGTATTTTTCTTTTTATGTCAGAGGACATCTGGAGTCAGAGATCGATGAAGAAAGTAAAGAGCGCCTTGCCGAAAATAGCAATTTCTCTATAAAACAATTCTTTTGACAGCCAAGACCCGCCATGCCAACCATTCTCGTTCCCTTCGTATTCCGTTAGCGAGAAGGAGATTCCATTCGGGCATCTTCTTCTCTTGAACCGCAGCCTAGTGGAACTGACTCCAGATAGGACGCTTCACCTACCATTAAAATCTTAACCTCTTCAAGTCAATCATTATCTATCCTATATATCTTCATAATTTACAATTCTTACGTCCATAAAACAATCCCACTCTACCTTGTGTGACTCTCGGGCCTTGTAATTGTTGAATCATAGTGTAAAAAAAATAGATTTGTCCTATGTATTCTAAAATGGTAAATCTAGCAAGAAGAATCAGATTTAAATTCTTTTATGTAAAGAGCTCAACCAAATTTCCAAGGAGAGCTAAGAATGACAACAACCTTCAATTTAGCCACAATTATGGTATTCCTATTACTAACTAGCAGTAGAGCCCGGCATTGCCGGGGATGTAACAGTAAGAGATAGTTCAAGTATCGACCATAATAAAGACTGAAAAATAAAATTGACAAAGATTATTGTTTAAGGTTGATGGACACGCATGTCTTAATTAGTTTTTTTTTTTTTTTTGCGAATTGGTCAAACAAAAACATTGTTTTCAATCGTTATGAGTCTACCGATTAAAGAGAATTTTATTATAAACAATTGTCTTGTAAATGTGATTTTTAAAGCATTTTGAATGTAAAAATAAAGAAAAAAGTGTGCAAGACAATAAGAAACACTACCTGCCAAAAAAGGGGAAGTTTTGTTGAAAACAGCGATGTCTATTAATCGTGTTTTCAAATTGATTTCGTGCAAAAAAAATTGTGTTTTTCCAATTTTTGGCGCTGTCAAAACCACCGCAAGGTAATTTTACGTAGTCCTGTGAAGTCTTGTTGAAATCAGTTGAAAAATGTAGGAAATCCGATCCATATATAAACGGACACACACACACACAAACAAACTGGGTTTTATAAGTATAACTCGATATGAATTGTCCCTCATCCATTCTCGCGACAGCGATGCCTCTTAATCGTGTTTTCAAATTGATTTCGTGCAAAAACAATTGTGTTTTTCCAATTTTTGGCGCTGTCAAAACCACCGCAAGGTAATTTTACGTAGTCCTGTGAAGTCTTGTTGAAATCAGTTGAAAAATGTAGGAAATCCGATCCAATATATAAACGTACACACACACACACACACACACACACACACACACACACACACACACACACACACACACACACACAAATCTGCGTCTTATAATAGGTAAGATTATATTGTGTCTGGTGGTGAGAGCTTTTCCTCTTGTTATTATTATTATTATTTTTACTAAAGTTCACTCGCTCAAGCCCCCACTCAAGAGAGAGGTTTACTGAAAGAAATGTGTGGTGTGAATGTAAGAAGAGGTAGAGAGAAGTGAAGATTATGAAAACAAATAACGATTGAACTTTGACATTAAGAGGGTAACATTGTAGTGTTCAAGGAAGTATGTTCGACAATGTAGCAGTTCTTGGAGGAAGGATGCCTGAGTGGAATTTCCTCTTTAAAATTGGAATACGGTGGAAATAAGGGTGAATCGGTTCCGTGGATGTAGCATGGCGAATCCTACTTATAAAAGGTTTGAAGTGGCGGAACTAAAATGTTGTAGGTCACCCGAATATTAACCAGGGAATTAGCGATAGTGTAGGGATAGGCTTGCGTCGTTGCGCCTGTATGAAAAAGTCTGAGTGGAAAATAAGTCTATCTATCTATCTATCTATCTCAGTCTGATCGTATCTATCTATCTATTGGGCCTACGGGCTCAGAGATACCCACATTAAAAAGGCCTTGTGCCACATTCGATCCCCGTGGGTGGATTGATAAATACCATCTATCTATCTATCTATCTATCTATCTATCTATCTATAAGTCTTTTCATATCTATCTATCTCAGTCTGTTCATATCTATCTATCTATCTATCTATCTATCTATCTATCTATCTATCTATCTCAATCTGTCCATATCTATCTATCTATCTATCTATCTATCTATCTCAGTCTGATCGTATCTATCTATCTCAGTCTGATTGTATCTATCTATCTATCTATCTCAGATTGATGGTACCTATCTAATTGTGTGTGAGAGAGAGAGAGAGAGGGGAGAGAGAGAGAAATCTATATGCAGCCATTGTAACAAAGAGTGATAGAGGTAGATTTGCTGAAGGAAGGTTAGGTTACTTTAGGTTAGTCTGTATTGTTGGCGATAGAAGAAGATTGTGTAGCTCCGATTTTTCAAGTGGTAAGTGTCTGTTAGCTTTGAAAATCAGCATTTAAACCGAGATGTTACATGGGCTCGAAGTGACGCCAGTTTGTAACACGTCAGCTATGAAACCAATCTCTATACCTCTCCGTACACACGCCACTCGCGCGCGCGCGCACACACACACACACACACATATATATATATATATATATATATATATTGCATTTTCATCTATTCTACAAAATAACGCGATATCCTTTTTGTATCTTCCAAAGGGCAGGGTTGAAAGCTGGGGAGTGTTTCCCTGATAAGTCATTTTCTCCATAATTACTCTTTCGGCATTAGCGGTAATGGTTGCTACATACATTTTTGGTTACGGCAGATGAACACCATCACTAATATGAGATTACACAATGCCAATCCCAGACGGAGCGGAGAATACAAAAAAAAATGAGAAAAAAAAAAAGAAAAAAAAAGAAAGGTTATATTATAGAAATTATCTACAAAATCTTTAATAAATGTCTTCTTGGAAGAAAAGTTTCCCCCTGTGTATAATACGCAAGACAAATATGGACAAACACAACGCCAAACCATTCTATATCAAAATAAAGAAGAGAATCCTTCGGGGACAGTGTTCAGGTGTGAAAAATAAGATTTTCAAAACACGTACAAGTATGCAGTAAAAATTAAAACAAATAATAAAAAGGGTGAAAGAAGCGGGAAATATTAACCCATATCCATCTCTCATCACTAGTGATCATTCCAAACACCTTCGTAATCACCATTAGACTAATCCAACACTTTCCAAATCTTCTGCACTGTACTCAAATTGATACCCAAACACTCTGAAATGTCCGTATTAGAGCTCCCGGTGCGAATTCCAAGTAGTACAGCCTGGCGTTTCCAAATTTCTAGCGGAATGAATTGCGTCATGGTCCTCTTTGTCTCCCAGACGATGCCCAACTGACCCTACTATACTGTGCAGTCGACAAAAAAACACGCATGCGCAAAATTAAAAATATAAAATGGCGACAATTTACCCATCGAATCCATAGATAGATAGGATTAATACAAATAAAATTTCTCACTCAGCTGAATGATGTTATATTCTGCACCTCAACACTGGAGCTTTTTTCGACATTTCTTTTCACTCGTCATGAAGTATCACAGCAATTGAAAAATTTTCTTATTATATATATATATATATATATATATATATATATATGAAGAAGGACGTCACTTTAAATAGACGCCATGTAGATATGGGTTAAAGATAAGAGAGTGGTGTAACAATTATCGTAGCAGCAAGTAGAATCGACCATCCAAGTTCAAATATGATAAAATAATTCATCTTTGTCTAAGAATTGTTATTTGCTTAGCCAAACATATCTTCCTGGAATATATATATATATATATATATATATATATATTCCACAAAATCGTTAAGAAAATCAGCAGACTGTGATGGAATACATGTACCAAACAAAGGTTTTATCGTCAAAATCTTAATGCCATTATTAAGAGGAAAGTTCAAGATATTTTTTAACATTCATTTAAATTTTTTTACCTCTTTTTAGTTTTAGAACGAAATTTTTACTAAAAATCTTGTATTTCTTGCATCATTTCATGTACTATAAAGTAGCACAGCAAATTTTACCGTCTTTTTTTGCGGTGACAGACACATTAATTTGAAAATTCTTGCAAAAATATAATAATTGTCGGATTTTAATGAAACTTTCAGGATTTATTCACACATGAATGAGATTGGTTTAGAAAGGTTTTCTATTAGAAAATATTGCTAAAAATATATTTTTTACATATGTTTATCCACCTTAGTTAATTTCATGAAAACTTGAGAAATTCCCGCTTTGATAGGAAAGATTTGATCAGTTCAAAAATTTGTCCGGAGTCACCGTAACTTGTGAGCTTAGTGGAGAAGATCTGTATGTCAAACCCTGTCGAAAAATTTATCGAAATGTTCAAAGCTACAGGCCGGGGTTCACCATTTTTATCTAGAGCTTGATAGACTCTTTCCGCAATTATCGTCAGTACATCAGCAGCTGACCTGGAGAAACAAAAGCCATATTGCTTATTTGAAAAAAAAAAAGCCCTGCGATGTGAGATGTTTAACCAATTCCACTATGGCCCATTGAAGTTTGAAATCGCAAGGCTATGGAAGTTGAAGAAGGTCACAATCATAACCTTTGTTATCGATGTTCTTGGTATAGTGACAGACAGAATGGGAACTTGGATAAAGAAAACTGGTGTTCATAGCCCAGCAGAACTGTTACAGAATGGAAGTCAGTTAGGAATGGCGAGAATAATCTGTGAAGGAATGAAAATTTAGAACCAGAGGAAAATTACATGGTACCTAAGGCTGCCGGTTGTGGTTCACTGAGCACACATTAATTACCAGATATTAAGTCTTTATCTTAGAAAATACAGTGATAATAATATTAATAATATTAATAATAATAATAATAATAAAGACGGACAAGTAATAATATAATCTATAGCCCATATTGTGATTGAGTTTTCAAGTTTTGCTCAAAATGGATATAAGAGGTTGAGACAAGATCAAGTTGAGAAAATCATTCATTGAAAGTTGTGTGAGAAGTGCAATTTTCAGCGAGAAAAGGAATGGTACAACCATAAAGCTGATAAAGTCCTTGAGTCAGAAACATGCAAGATTTGGTGGGACTTTTCAATACAAACATATAAGCAACACAACAAAGCGGAGATATTGGTGGAAGATAAAATAGGAAAAAAAGGGTTCATTATTGATTCATTGTATCATTTAGATAAGAATAGAGCAAAGGGTAGAAGAGAAAGCAATCAACTATGATTTTGGAAGTTGAAGAAGGTCACAATCACACCAGTTGTCATTAGGGTACTTGGTACGGTACCCGGCAGAACAGAGACATGGATTAGGAAAATTGCTATTTTAAACTATAGATCTGAGAAGGCGGTTGTATACAGCTAAGAATTTAGTTATTTATGAACGATTTTGGAGCCAAGTATAACATTTATATGAAAGTCTCATCTGACGAGACTAGGCTTAGATAGATAGATAGATAGATAGATAGATAGATAGACATGAATAGAATGAGATAGATAGATAGATAAATAGATACATATAAAAATAATGATCAAATAGATAGATAGGTAGATAGATAGATAATGATCAAATAGATAGATAGATAGATAGATAGATTCTTTCTTAATATCTGAAAAAAAATCTCATCTTTATATATCAGTTCAAATAATCTTAGAAAGATTTTGTCCACAAAAAAAAAAAAATGTATCACCTTTGTAGAATATTCGCTAATTTGATGAATCTACAACTCATGTTGTGATTGAGTGTCCAGTTTTAGCTCAGAATGGGCATAAAAGGTGGAGACAAGATCAAATTGAGAAAATCATCCATTGGAAATTGTGTGAGAAGTGCGGTTTTCAGAGAGAAAAGGAATGGTACAACCATAAACCTGAGAAAGTCCTTGAATTAGAAGCATGCAAGTTTTTGTGGAAATTCTCAATACAAATAGCGAAAGTAATTAACTATGACCCGTTGAAGTTTCCATTCATAAGTCTTTGGAAGTTGAAGAAATCCACAATCATACCAGTTGTTATTAGTGCCCTTGTTAGGGTGCCTGACAGAATAGAGACATGGACAAGAACAATTGGCATTGATTGCCTAGTAGAACGTTTACATAAAGGAAACCTCTTAGAAACAGCAAGAATAAGCTGGGGCCGATGAACACATAGAACCAGAGGAAAATTGTATGGGATTTAAAGCTACTATGTCCCGCTATCCAAGCATTAATTATGAGATATTAAGTTCTTATTTGAGAAAATATCGAAATAATAACAGGGTAGTGACCTCTTTATGGTCAATACTTTGTCCGTGCCAAAAAAAGCTGACGTAGACAAACCCCATGTGGTTTCGTAGTTTAAATCTGAAACCAAAGGATGTACAAGAAAATTATCAAACATACTGTAAAATTGTGCTGACCCCAAATGCAGATACTGTGATTAATATGCAGAAATAATTGACCATTTTGTATCAGGCCGCATAGTACAGTGTTACCCGGATATAAGAGACCCGGATATAAGAGAAACCCGGATGTAAGAGAGATTTTATCTGGTCCCAAATTAGAGCCTGTGTTAATGTATATAAAATAGACCAAACCCGAATATAAGAGAAACCCGGATATAAGAGACTTCTTCTCGGGTCCCGACAACTCTCTTATATCCGGGTTACACTATATATATATATATATATATATATATATATATATATATGTATATGTATGTATGTATGTATATATATATATGTATGTATATGTATATATATATATATATATATATATATATATATATATATGTATATATTACAATAAACGTGCAATCAATTTACAAATACATGAATTATTCACACAAAACTAATGCAAAGGTTAATGATTTAAATGGCGAGACATCCATCTCGCAAACAATTCAAATAGTACACAAAAACATCCAGATCCGTTATGAATGAATTGATCCTTGTTTATATAAATTTCTGCCGTATTAGTTGTTATTTTTACTACAAGCTTTCGTCTGTTCCTACAGACATCTTCAGGTATATAATAGATGTTGTTCTTGTTTTTTTCTCTTAGTAATAAGAGGACATCGAAAATATATGTGTATTGTATCCGAAATGCTATTGAAAATGAGATATTGGTTTTTGAACGCGCCAAAGCAACGCTGAGTTTGATTTTAAATTTCTTTTTTTTAAAGTGTTTGCGTTTATGCAAAAATATGGTAATGAACAAATTATTTTACTGGTAAATTTTACTGTCAAAGTGGCATGAACTATA